AATTCAAATATTTCTGTCTTCATTTTAATCAATAGGTACATATATTTGAGCTGGCGTTTGAGGATCAGTGATCACTGATTACGATTTCGAAATCCCACTATTGGATGCAATATCGCTGTTGTTTCATTGGCATTTAAGAGATTAATAGCTACAATAATCAAAAGGTTTTCATCTTCAAGGGGTCCATAATTTGAGGTTTATTGCCGTCAATAATCGACACAGAAGTGATCCATTATGTTCCTAGGACCATAATTTTTTTTGCGCATGAGGTAATTTGTTGGTTTTTTTCTCGCTAGAGGCTGTAGCGTTGATCAGCGCTATTCTGGTCTTGTTATTATTTTGCGTTTACTTCTCGATAGATGGTACCCATCCAAGTAACATTTTTCTGTCTTCCAACATTATCTGCACCTATTTCAATGTCAGAATAGATTCATCCCGCATAACAGTGAAAGAACATTCATATTCTGAGAATATTCCCTCAAAGTGCTTTTTGGAATGTTCTTTTAGGAAATGTTTAATGAATATTCTAAGATTGTTTCGATTGAAATATTCATATTTGGACGTTCTATTTATATACTAGGAATGTTGCCTCCATGCACTTACCTGAAAGATTGTGCTAATAACCTACTTTATATAACATTATCTGAATATTGTCATACGAACATTATTATAATGTACCCTAAAAAATGTTCTTTCGGCTAATATATCTTTATCAGGTACTATCAAGAATATACCTACCAAGTTGTGCTGAGAAGTTTATCTAGGTAGGTACCCATATTGTTCACTTAATTATCTAAAGTACCTACTCAAAAATCTTAATTGAACAATTAAACAATAATGCTCTATCTAGAACCTACTAAAAATATTATAGGTATATTCTTTTCCTTTTGCTTTGTAGGACTTCCAAGAGAGGGAGCCACGCGCTATTAATGATCTACATCTTGCCTCGCGTTTGAATCACCTTAGAACCTGTTTTTCTCAGTTGGCGTGCTTACCGCGACGAGAGCATAATAAGCTTGAAACTGGAGCTTTGGTTAAACACTTGTGTTTTCCAGAGAAATTTTCCATCAACTCTTTATCACTGCCTTTAATATAAAAGGACTGAAAGGAGCATTATTTGGTTGGATGCGAAAATTAACATTCCAAGTATGTCCCTAGAATCAAACAAGAATGTTATGTCTCTAGGATGCATATTGAGAATTATATATGTATATGTAGATATATTCTAAGAATATTTCAAGCATATTGGTATAATATTCTTTTGAGAACATAACTATGTCATAGAAACATTCTTTGAATGTGAGAAATGTGAGAATTTCAAACATATTTTTAGAATCAAACAGGAATATTCTTTTCAGGATGTACTGAGAATCTCATAAGTATATTCTGGGAATATCCTAATGGATTTCCAAGGAAGTTCTTGGGTATTGCAAACAGTATTTCTATTCAGTTAGGTATCATTTTCCGGAAAATTCTTATCCTGCCTTGCTTAGACTAGTTTCTAGTTATCTCTGTAGGTAGGTACCTATGTTTTATTCTCGCATTCGCAGATCACTGTGATCAAAGTGAACCTAATAAATTGATGTCCAGTGGTTTTTGACAAAAATATGAATAGGTACTACTTCTTAGAGAAAGTTAATATGTTATTTTCGTATGATGATATTATGAAATTAAATTAGGTAAGGCATGTAGGTACATTGATGGTGGCGATTGTGCCCGCTTTTTTGTTTTTATCAATTTAACTTTCAAAAAAGTAGCTTAAAATAGTAGCTTTCACTAATTCAAAATGTAGTTAAGTTACTAATAGCTTAGCTACTTTTTCAAAAAGGTAGTTGAGCTACTGAGTACCTAACTTAGCTACTTAGAATATGAAGTAGGTAGCTTGTAGCTTGTAGCTAGCTACTTTTTCCAAGTAGCTTGAGCTTGCCCAGCTCTGGCAGTCAATAGCTATATTCCTTTCAAGAGCTTGAAACACTAGAGCTACTAGAGTTGCCACCTCTCCGGGTTTTCATATATGGTCTCCGGGCTCCGGATTACTAGATGTTTTCTCCGGGTGAAACTGAATTTAACAAAAAAACGCATTCTACAAAAAAAAAATTCTTATATCCAGAAAAAATATACTTATAAGATTTAGCAACAGCGCAATACTGTTTCTGCTCTCCCTCAAGGATATTATACTACACTACTATAGGATTCCTTAGCCGCCTCGATTTTTGGAATCCAGGTCATATGGTTTTGCACCGTTGACGACGTCATCAAGGGCGTCGTTAACTGTTTGCGCCAGCGGTCGTAGTAACAAAAACCTCAGATTGTGTCAATGTCAATATGAAATTGTTTTTGTGTGGCACAATCTGAGGTTGTTGTTTGCTAACAGGGACTTGACTAACGATTGATCTCGTCGCCATTAATGTACTAAAACCAAGTATGCTTGAAGCAAAAGTCAGCGGAATCATAGTCTGTGGAACACCCTACGTCAAGGCGAGGAACGACACGCTGTCTACGTCATCACTGGTGCTTTGGCGTGGTAGGAGGTTTGAGATTTGATCTTCAGAGGCCATATGCGGATGGGCTATCCTATGGTTGTCCTATCCTGTGTAGTGTGTTATAATCCTTGGATCTTCCTCTCTAACCGTCTCAACTCCCGACCCTAAAGCATCATCCGGTGATGCCAGGGGAGACTTGTATATAAATAGAGTGTACCTAATGCATCTGTTATAAGATTTATAGGAATTTTTTTTTCAGCTTTTTTTTAATAAGGGTTTTTTTTTCTCCGGTTCAACCTACTTTCCAAGGTGGCATCCCTAAGAGCTACTCGCTCCGGTGTTAGTCGACCCCGATTTGAAAGGAACAGATGCGCTGGCTTTCATGCATTTTAAATGATTTGAGTCGGGCTTCAGCACTCGGGTGCAACAAACACTTTTCGAAAGGAATAAGCGCGTAACGCGCCGGAGCTACTCCGAAGCTCCTCTTACGTTTGAAAGGAATACAACTATTGAACTAAACAAACACTCAGCAATACAGAGGGATTGTTGTCTCGCTCGCACTCATTGCGCTTAACGTAAAAGAAATAAGAGTTTCTTCATCTTCCTAAACTCAATGATCCAAACACATCAAACAGCTATTCTCAATAGCCGCATTGTGCAGAGAGAGATGCAAATCCCTCTTGTATGTTGTCCTTCCTGGCACAAATCCTTGCGTTAGAAATATTATGCAGCCACCGTTCCAGTGTGTTTGTTTAGTTCATTGACAAAAGTAAATGCAACATCTTTTTTTCTATTTTGGTGTCATATCGAAGTCTTTTCGACACTAAGGGCGGGTATTATAAAACTGCTTTGACAGTTAACTTGAAGTTAACTTTTTGAATTACATGTAATTCAAGAAGTTAACTTTAAGTTAACTCTCAAAGTAGTTTTATAATACCCGCCCTAAAAGTAGTTTCGAAAAGAAGCTCTTTGTGACACTCCTTTTTTAGTTATCGCAGGTTGGTAACACTGGCTGACTGATGGCCATCGAACTGTCATTCGCGATAAAAAATAATAGAAGATTTCTATATTTGGCATGTAGTGTTACCAACCTCAACATATGAAATCAGGAAATATGAGAATAAAATTTCCAAGAAAAGTTTTTTTTTAAATTAAACAATACCAAAATAGAAAAAATAGTATAAAATATTCGTTTCATAAGACATTTTATCGCACTCGCCCTTTATAAAACTCGCCTCCGGCTCGTTTTCTAATATAAGGCTCGTGCGATAAAATGACGTCTTATGAAACTTGTATTTTAATGTACTATTATGTTATGTTTGGTTTAACCAATGAACTATAGCTAAAAACTGGAATGCGCACACATTGCCACATCTGCCCAAAAAATGAAGCCATGAAAGACAGATGCCACAAGGGGGAATGTTGTTTTTTTCTGTTGCTCGCTGACATATGGCGTTTTCGAAAGTTTTGTCATATTTCCCTTCACAGGTTTCATCAATTGGAATACGTGTTGGAAGCAATTTTCGCCATTTAACATAATGAGTGCGACAAAAACAGGTATCCCCTCCGCAGCAGCCGCACTAGGCTTCATGTTCGTCCTTATGTGTGAGCCAATGAACTATAGTCAAAAACTGGAATGCGTGCACATTGCCATATCTGCCCAAAAAATGAAGCCATGAAAGACAGATGCCACAAGGGGGAATGTTGTTTTTTTCTGTTGCTCGCTGACATATGATGTTTTCGAAAGTTTGGTCATATTTTCCTTCACAGGTTTCATCAATTGGAATACGTGTTGGAAGCAATTTTCGCCATTTAACATAATGAGTGCGACAAAAACAGGTATCCCCTCCGCAGCAGCTGCACTAGGCTTCACGTTCTTCCTTATGTGTTAGCATTCCAGTTTTTGGCTATAGTTCATTGGTGTGAGCATTCCAGTTTTTGGTTATAGTTCATTGGGTTTAACGATGACACTGACTCGACTCTTTTTGTCATTTTTGAAGTGATAATAAAGGTCGATTCACACAATACCAAACAATAGAAAAAGGCGTACCAGTTTTATGATTGACCAAGTGTATCGGCTTCTGCTTACACGAACGTCAATGCTCGGAGCAGTAAAATGTGTTCGGAGTGACCTGATCGCGCGGTTATTCATGCGCCACAATATGCCATTTACAGAGTATAGTTCCGAGTTCCTATTTGCATTAGCAAATTTGGCCGACTGCCGCCGACTTGAATAATTGCTTTATTTGCAGGAATAAGCAAATTAGGTACAGGAAAAATTTGTAATTCCGCCATATTTATGGAAAAAAGTTGGTTGGGCGCTATTTATTTACCAGTTTTTATAAAACCCGGAAGGAAAACCCACAATCAATGAACTCCCACAATAGTTATGATTACGAACGTGCCTTAGAGATGGCGCTAGACCCTAAAACTTTATACAGAATTCTATCCTCACACTAAAAATTGATATTTCAATAGTTCTACCAATCTCCAAGGGGGATCGCCTCCATACATTTTGTGAAAACCAATAAGTTGGCTTATGCGCTTTGTCATAGCACAACGACAACGATCGATTTCATTACAACATACACACCCAAGTAAAAGTACAGTTTATCTATTCTATAAAAATAATGAATAGAATATAAATTTTAAATTTTCCCTATTCCTAGTTTCAAATATCGAAACGGAAATCCTTGTAGTTCGGTGTAGTGGAATTTAGTCAAATGAAAGCACCTCAAATTTGACAGTGACACGAGAGACAGTTGGTTGACTTGAGTTGAGTGTTGACAAAAAATGGTATTTCTTTGTTTTTATGGGAGTACAATAATTATTTGAGTAAAAGAATTTTTGGAATCCAAATAAACTGAATTAGATTAAATACAACACCAAAATTGTTGCGATAATGTCCAGAGCACTGTTGGAAGAAGTTGTCACTCCTGCGAAGGAGCTAATCACAAAATTATCAGGTTTCGAAGTAAGTTAATCGTTCATAACCTCAATAAACAAACTGCAAATGATAATTCTCATTTTATCAAAAAATTTTATTTTATAGGAAGGTTCCGATGAATTTAACCACGTCTTAAAATACTTCAAAGCTGTACTGAATAAAGCAGACACGATGTACTTTTTAAACAAGCGGGACGTGGACAGAAACATTGAGGGTATGAGCGAAAAGTTTTGCTTTCACGGCTTTTTTAAAGAAGCTGATGCACTTAAAGCGGCTTATAAAATGTATTTTCCCGAGCATTTACCCAAAGCTGAAATCTCGACCAGATTGAATGTTGTACAATTTTTAATGTGCATGTCGGAAACGCCTACAAAACATTTTTTGGAACATCCTGATGCCCTTGTTAAACAATCTGTTGATGCAGAGCAAGAAATTGATTGGGGGGCCTATTTGAAAACAGGAGTGGAACCGTGGATGCCTAATTATGATGAATCAAGTGTAAGTTTCGATAATAATGTATGGTAAATCCTCAGGTAAATCCAACAAAGTAAAAGCAAGTAAGTTCAAAATGGGCAAAATTATAAGAAGAAATATTTTTAGTTTGAACAAATTCCTTTTTTTTCACAGAACAGGGGGGCAGTCTTATGTAAGGTCACAGTCTTATGGCCATAAGAAATGTAAATTTTATCCTCATCAAGTTAGCATTGCCAATTATGTCAAGAAGAAATATTTTTTGTCAATTTCAATTTATTTTTATGAGCAGTACCTACAAAGAAATTACAATTTTTACAATTAAAAGGCACCAAGATGCCTATGATATGCATACCAAAACTATTATAGTTATTAATGATACTAGTTCGATATGAACACCATAATGAAACGCGTGTAACGTTAAATCACGAGGCGTTAGCTGAGTGGTTTAGTCACACAAGTTTCATTAATAAAGTTCATATTGAACGTGTATCATTCAAAATTTAATCTACGATGGTCCAAATAGATTTGATTTGCCTTGAAATAGCAAAAACTTTTCAAATTAAAATTCAAAATTTAGCAGTTGTCCGTACTAGTCGGAAACCTGCTTGTTGATTTTTACAATTTTGACTTTGGCAGCTTTAATATTGGAGTTAATTTTGGTACCATAAATTCAGTTTTATAGTGGAAAATAGTATTAATATTGGTGATTCCGAGTTCGAAAGTGTCCTTTCGTATATCGAGACAGCATCAATGAAAAGGTTCTTTTGGTAACTAACTTTCTTTTTGTATATTTTTCATTCCATAATTTGAGTGTTTTTATGAATTCTTAAACGCACTAGTGCTATTATGAAGGACCTAATGACATTCAAATGACAATGCTAAATGTGTCATAATGACACCGGCGTAGATTAAGTAATTTAATATTATCCGTTCACAATCCGATGTCCACTGGTACCAGTAAAGTTTATCACCTTTCAATGCTATTTGATAGGGACAGGTGATGAATATACCTGCACCCTGCACCTGTGGACATCGGATTGTGAACAGGATAATATATGTACAGTGGAAATCATTGCAATTGGCACACACTATGTAAATATCCCTCGTAATGTGTCAAATCTGACACACAGTAATAGCAAAATGCTGCACTAAATAGATTTATTGGTTAGAATTTTGACTTAATACGGGGGATTTTAAAGAGTGTGTGCCAATTGCAATGATTCCGACTGTACTATTACTACTATTAAAAGATATAGGTACCTACTCAGGTACTAACCTAAATGAGAATTAAATAACAAAAAATATATAACAAATGCTAACCAAATAAGCAAATTTTGATTTATTTTTATATTTTTTCTCAGGTGCTATTTCTGTATAACAGCTTAAAAAAAAGGAAAAGCCACAGAATATTCCCTTTCAGTTGGCGTTTGGAGAAACTTTTTTTTCATGTAATTCAACTCTTCTTTAACAAACTTCTCCAAAGAGTACATAACTCCGTATATACACACATCAAAATAGTCTAGGGAACAAGATGCAACTGAATACATTTATAAATTGAACAAAATATACTTTTAAAAGATTTTTAAATTTTGTTAAAGCCTGCTGGAAAAGCCGATATGATAAATTTTACAAGATTTGTTGAACAAATACCCATGGTATCTTTTTAAAAAAAGTTATTCTGTCTAAAAATTAAAAGTAGAATATTTCTTGTTCCCAGACTTTTTTGATGAGTGTAGTTATTAAGTTAGTTCATTTCCCTTGGCAACAAATTATATAACTTTGGAGCCAAAAACACTGAAGGGTGTTTACTTAAATCTCGATTTACTTTGGGTATTATAGCTAGGTATGATGCTGATTTTTATTGTTCCTGGTTTCATATCTATTATTTATTATCCATGGTTTGTAAAATTGTAATGATATTTTTAATATTTTTGAATGTGGGAACAACTACTTACTCGATATACCTAAAGATATTTTTTATGTCTAATTTTTTCATTATGAAGTTGAATTTTTGGAAAATGTCTTGGTTTTTTAATAATTATTTTTATCATTGAGTTTTAAAGTCTGTTTTTTTTTTAAAGATAAAAGTCAAAATGACATTATGTTGGCAATACAATGTAAAATTGTCAATGCTTTCAAATTTTTTATGAAGAAAAGGATTGTGTTGCCAACATAGTTACTAAATTTCTGACTTGGGGAATTATCTTTAAAAAAAAACAGATTTTATGTACTCATTAAATTTTTGATATTACTTTCATATATGCCTTCCCATACAAGAATCTCATATTTGAACAGCAGCTCAGGTGATTATATTCTAGTACTTAATAATTTTTTGGAGAGAAATTTCCTCAACATATAAAATTTAGGTCATGGTGCCTCGCATGGTGCCCTTATATTTTTCATTTAAATATCTCGTTAAATATGATATATTATGATGAATATGATATCCCATATTTTAAATTTTTGTCAGTGTGCACAATATAAGGTACTTGTCCCAAATAAGGCCATGTTAAGAAGTTTTATTTTTTCTGAACACTATCCACCAAACCCGACACAAATCACGAGCTTATATGTGAAGTGTTTCGCTTCTATTACTTGAATATTAACCCCAATTTATTTATTTTTACATATAAGTGGTGGTTTTTGCGTAAAACAAAGACCCTTACCATTGGCCTTATTTATTCCACTATGCTCCTTATAAGGCCATCAATAAAAAATGTTTAAAATAAATAGAAACATTTATGAAAATATTATTTTTTGACAAAAAGTTCTCAAAATAGAACTTTAACGTTTGCTGCATTCTAAAAAAACAATAGTTTCAGGTCCTGGGATAGTGATCCAAATAGGTCTACATACAACTAGGACACCTGAACCGCAGCTTATCTTGCTTGGTTAGACGCCAGGCGCTCTAAAACACATCACCTAAGTTATAATATGACACATTCTTTTAAAAAAACACGAGGGGGTAACCACTCAGTAAATATGGTGTACACAAACTGTAATTTTTTGTAAATTTTTGTAATTTTTGTAAATATCAGTAATGTTTATTAATTTCTAGTAATTTTAGTAATTTTCAGTAATTTCTAGTAATTTTTAGTAATTTTTAGTAATTTTTAGTAATTTTTAGTAATTTTTAGTAATTTTTAGTAATTCTTGGTAATTTTTGGTAATTTTTGGTGATTTTTCAATAATTTTCCAGTGATTTTTTATAAATTTTGAAGGGTATTATTTTACAAAAACGTTTCTAAAAAAATTATTCTGGAAGTTTTGTGGAAATTTTCTCATGACAAAAGCAATCGTACATAAAATCTATACCGGCGCCGGCGTGGGTCAATGCTTGAGCTCAAGCCAATGAAAAGAAAACAAAATAAAACGGATTTTTCATATTTATCGTCAGTTAAGAAAAAAGGCTCGAACTGTTAATTTTTATTTTTAAGGAGGAAACTTTTTGCAAAGAATTTTAACTCAAGCCCTAAGGGGTACCTATACGTCGCGTCGTATACGAAAAATTGCAGATACGGGTGAAGGGTGAAACCATAGATAAGGGTGGAGGGTGGAGCTCAACTCCCTAGGGGATGGTAGCAATGGATTGGAGTGATAGTGTTGAAAATACGCACAAAAGTGTTCGCTGCGATAGAAAAATTGACAATAACATACGGCCGGAAGGCGGTCTTCATTGACAACAACCTGTGGTTTTTGCTTCAAAAACTGAAACTCCACGTAAAATTAAATTTTTGAGGTTAATTACACTCTGGCTCTGGCACGTACAGTTGCGATCAAAAAAAAGTAGTAGGGGAGGTCGGGGTATTAGCGCAGGTAAAATTTTGATCGCTTGTAAATTAAAGGATTTTTGAGATAAAAATTGTTTTTTTGTTGTTATCTGTTACTAATTTTATATACTTTCATGCTCCAAATGCAAAACTTTGCAAAGTTTTTTTTTTGTTTTGTTTATCATTCAAAAATGAAAAATCTGTATTTGCGCTATTACCCCTACTTATCGAGGTAATAGGGACTTAAAGCAGACTACAAATTTCCGTCGTATCCGTATCCGTATCGAACTGCGCATGCGCAGAAGCGATACGAGCATCGAGATGCATTACGAGTGTCGCATCTTTACGGCTCCCGTATCGTAAGTGTATCCGTATCGCATCCCTGACTAAACGTCAAAAATTCACAGTAACATAACCTGAAAAAATTGTTATATTCTTATTTCTTATTCTTAGATTGTTTATGGATTTGTTTTGTTGTTCGTTCACTGTTCAGTTTCGCGATGGAAAAAAGAAAAAGATTATTTTATACAGCGGATGATGACCTGCTTGACCAAAGTTGTTGGGGTAGTCCTAGAGCCCTGACTAATCTTGGTATGTGATCTTTTTCGAATCTGAACATTGACAAACACTGGGCATTATTCAAAAATTGCAGATCAAAAATTCCATAAAGAGCGGCTCTGTTAGCAAGCAAATCATTGTCATTCAATATGTGAATGACAATAAGATCATCTAGATCGTCTTTTCGAATGATTGTATCAAAACAAAATTTGAGGTTAGAAAATATGACGGAACAAGATACGGATACGAAAACTGAAGTTGAACAGCTTATGGCGTTTTCACATCGGTAACGTAAGTCAATACGATACGATTACGGATACGGATAAGTACGCATTTTTTAGGATCTGCTTTAAGTCCCTAATAGCGCAGCACAGTAACGCTATTGCCTCATATGATTTCTCGCCTTGACTTAGGCTCTTTCAACAGCTGACGACTTAGTTATGACGTCGGAAATGGTGACACACCAATATGGCGACGATTACCAAAAACGAGGCCGATAAGCAATCCTGTAGGTGTGTATAATCCTTGCAGCTAACGACTCAATTATGACGTCGGAAATGGTGACACATCAATATGGCGTCGATTACCAAAAACGAGGCTGATAAGCAATCCTGTAGGTGTGTATCATCCTTGGTACAGAAACGCCTTCTACAACTCAACTGTCAATATTACATTCCTTCCTATAACATGTGAGCT